GTTTTTTTTTCTTTCTCTTTTGCACTACAACCTCTCCGTCTTCATCTTCATCTTCTAATTGTTCAGCATGGCTGGTGTGATCATGTTCTTCACACTCACGGAGACTTTCTACAAAGACAGCATGCATGTCATCAAAGCTTATATAATCACATAACTTCTCAGAATTGCATCAAAATATAAGAGGTTACCTGAGGTAAATTTCACTTTCACCAATGGGAAAGTTTCCCAATCCTCCTTCGGAGCCACATGGTTGTCGAAACAATATTTTGCCCTCGTCTTTGGCCATCGAAGGGTTTTTTCACCAACGTTCACCCAGGCATCAGGGATGGTCCCCTCCATCTCCTTCCCATTTTCATTCCACACAGCTCTGACGAAAAGCATAACCTGCAACAAAAAATAATATAATAAATAAATGAATGATGAATGATCACAATCGCGATGTCAAGAAAGACTATGAAACAAAGTACAAAGAAAACAGAAAATTACTCACTGCTCTTGACTAAAAAACTTTTGTAGCTTTAATAAGGACTAGTCTATATTTTATTTATAATTTATGCAGTGCAGACTGTTTGATAACTGAATTCAGTTTCGGTATCTGTCCAGCCTTAAGACAGTAGGGGCACAGGTAAATATGACATTTATGTTTTACTGTTGTACTATTAAGACAAATAACAAGCTAGTAAGTTAGCTAAAGAATAAGCATATAGTTGCTAATGAATAAGTACTAGTAATTAATGGAATAGTATCTAAAAAATAAGTAACGTTAGTATTAAAATACTAACTTGGTCGGTTTAAATTAGTAAATGTTAAAACGGCTTGCCATAGAAAGTCCGGTTTGAGGCTGATTGGCGCAAACTAAGCTAGCTTAAGTAGTTGATTAGCTAGCACGTCCATTTAGAGGAAAACACATTTGATTGATGACTTGACTGGAGCAACTGCGACTATCGAAAAAATGATAACTTTTCGGGAATCACTCACTTTATTATTACCAATATTACAACATACTTACAAGTCCTTGATAGTCAAGTGCGAGACAGCGACACGAGACGAAGACAGCCTTCAGACAGTTAAGGTGCGGACTGCGGAGAGCCGGAGACTGCTGCGCGGACCGGACTGCAGTCACATATCCGTCCGCCAAAGAACTGGAAACTCTGTGTTCCGAGCATATTTGATCAATATAAAAAATCTCAGTATCATGTTATAAAAGTTAAAAGAAAGCTGACCGTCCCTGTTATTTATTAACACTAAGGTAGAACTGTGTTTCTACAGGGGAGGTATATCACAATCTACTTGAATCCGGAAAGAGTACCTAATAACCGCCTTTTTCACCAGAAAAAAAAAACCGAGAGAAAAAAAACACTATCTGAAAAATATGCATATATTACTTTTTAATATAATTTTACTAAACAGCATACACATAATAAATAAATAACAAATAACAACAAAATATAGCCTATAAAAATTGGACAAATAGAGTATATGGGTGAAATTGATTTTATTTACACATTTGCTGAGGTCAAGTTGGTCAGCTTGGAACATGATATTTTGGAACCATGGCCTTCAAAGGCCCATTTATGAAATAGCCTACCCATCACCCTCAAACAGACAGAAAAAAAAGATAATTAATAAATTTTTTCTAGAATAAATATAATTTTATATAAAACTTTCGATATTCCATATGGACTGGAAGAAGTGTCACCATCTGCCTTTGTCCCCAATAGCCATATAGCAACCTTTTTCATCTCTTTGTTGCTCAGTGGCGTTCTTCATCTAAATTAAAAAACAATAAGAAATTTATAGTCTTGTTTTGGGAGGAGTCTGTCAATTGATCCGTTTAATTGAGTCTGAACTGATCATTCCGTGGAAAAAAAGCTTGGACATTAGGCTACCAACAAAATTAGAGAATTTAAGTTAATTCATAGGTTTTACAAAGTGCTCTCTCAAAAGACTTAAGAATGATATACTCTTTCTGTTCAGAAAAACATGAGACTTATTTTGGAACTGCTCTTTCACAGTGACATTTTGGTGTGACATTTGTGATTTTATCAAATGTTATGTGAATCCTAACTTTGGATTTACATATAGAACTAATTTTAGTTTTCATGTGAATAAGTGATATTTATTTTATAAACCTTGCTTTTTCTGTTATTTAAATTTCACGTTCACAAATGTAAATTTTTTAAATGCAATAAGATTTAAACTAAAAACTGAAAAGCTATAAGAACAGTGGCTGTGTAAGACTTGCACTCTGGATTGAAAGACTTAAATTAGTCTGGACTGAGGGACTCTAATGTGGTAATGTTGTGATGATGGTTGTTAATGTTTTTGTGTTTTGTTGTAGTTTTCTTACAATCATTTAAATAATAATAAAAAAAATAGCCTTTAGCCATGCTGTCTCTTTTTTCTTTTTCTTTCTTTTTCTGTCATTTCTGGCTATAGCCGCATTGTGAACATCTTTTTTTGATTTGTGGACATTTTTGTGGCCTAAACATATTTTCTGTCATTTATTGGCAAAATCTGGATGTTAACTGTTAACTGTTATAGCCAGTATGAACGTCTTTTCTCAACTAGTTCTGGCTGTCAGTGGACGTTTAGATTATGGCCTGGACGGACGGACGTGATATCAACCTGTTTTGTATGTCCACAGACGTCGCTTGCTCATTGGGGTGTGTCCAGGTCCTGATAGGGTCCAAAGGAGCCAGGCCGTTGATAACGATGCGCTCTGCGGTCCGTCTCCTAGATAAGCCAGTGTGGAGATTCTCTTTGTTTTCTTTCACAGCGAACTTAATAAAAGGCAAAGAAAGAGTTCCCGCCCGCTAATCACATCTAGCAGTATTAAAAGCTTTGTGAACCAACATTAATAGACTCAACATCATGTAAAGATGGTAGACTGCTCCTGGCAGCCCTCCTGCAGCTGCTGAAGATCTTAGAGCCCCTTTATGTGACCAGCTGAACCTCTGCGTAAGGATCCAGGTTCCACGCGCCGAAATCTTCATTATACATGGACACACACACTCAGGGCTGGTTTCCAAGAAGCTGAAGAACTCTTTTAAGTCACGTGGTTCATTGGGGGCGGGTCGTTATACACAGAGTCGCCTCCTCCTGTTTGCTGCAGATGTGGGAGAGCTACAGGATGGCTGCTCGCAGTCTCGGTAAGAAAGTTTCTCCTCCTTTTATGCAGTAAACTGCGCTCAGGTCAGTGTTGGGCAGTGAAGAGTTACAGTCACTGACCCGAGTAACGCTGCCTTCCTGTGTCACTGAACGCACCACGCTGGATGCCACTGCGCGACCGTAAACAGCTCAGCTGCACCGGATGTTGTTCGAGTCAGCTGTTCGCAAGAAGCTAAAGGAAGGCTGGAGAAGGAGGGAGAGAGGCGTCCACAGCTGGAAGTTTCAGTCTGTCTCAGTCTGGGATGCAAAGAACATGTCGTCTGTTGTAAAAAGCTTCTGATTTACTGAAGCACGTGAAGCAGCACAGCGACGTGACCCTGTGGCCCCGGTGCCGAGCGAGGTTTTACCTTTAGTAAACGCGCTGAAACTGCTCTAATAAAGAGCCACCTGTGCAGAAAAACAGAGACACGCTTTTTTTACGCTCCTCGCTGCTGTTTTAAGTTTAAAGGCACTTTGCTGCAGCTGCCTCTCTTTTTTCTCCCTTAACTTTTCAGCACTCCTTCACGTTGTGTCGCATGTTTTCTGCAGGCCTACCTGGTTTTGTCCGCGTTTCTACGTGTGATGTGGTGGTGATGGCGCATGACGCGTGTGTAGCTAGTGTCCACCTGCAGGAGGCGCTGCAGCACCATGATGACTGGGTTTCTGGATTGAGCTCTAATGTGAGGATTTATTCTGCAGACAGCAGCAGCAGCAGGTCTCTGAGATCAGAAAAGAGTTTAGTAACAGACTGCAAGTGTTTCTGGAATATTATCTAATCTGGCTTCACAGGAGACGTTATAACAAAGCACAGCATGTCTTTATGTTAGTGGTGGCTTTCAGCGTGTTTTAGGTCTTACATATTATATAAGCAATAATAATCAGTGGTTCCGACAGGGTTTTGAGAGACTATGGTAGGTGGGCCTCGCAGGTGTCTCACGGACACTGGGCTGCTTGTGCTCGTACAGCTGCAGCAAATATTTATTGGTGTAAATCATTTACAGTTGTGTGACATTTTGGTAGGGTGGTTATTCATTGTGCAGCGGTGGTGGCCCAGCTGTAACATACGGGTGCAACAGGTCTGAGATGTACCGTTCAGCGCTCTGTATGTTAAAACGAGCACTTTGAATTGAGTCCTGAATTTAACAGGAAGCCAATGTAAAGAGGACAGAGTGGGTGTTATATCAGTTCTCCGGCTGGACCCGGTCAGCAGCCTTGCAGCAGCATGTTGGACCTTTTGTAAACGGTCCAGGGACGACTTGGGACTGAAATATTCCATGATTGGTGGCCGGGAAGGACAATCAGAGACAGGTGTAGAGGAGGGGATGATGCTAGCCCTGATATCTCTAATCTTGTCCACAAAGAAAGAGAGAAATCTGTTGCAGTCGTTGTTAGAAACAATAGGAACATCAGGAGGTGCAGGATTTATGATTTATGATTAAACTGAAAAATAAGAAGCCCTCACATCCTTAACCATAGCAGGGCTCAACGTTAAACTTTCTTGCAGCTGGCCCCACCGAGCCAGTGGGTTTGAAGCTCACTGGCCCCAAGACAATTTTTACTGTCCCTCCCTGCAAAAGCTGTCCCAAAATAAAAAGTTAACAAAACAATTTACTTACAAAACCTAATCACAGAGTCAAACATGACGTGCTGTCCTGCTGACAGCCATTTAATAAAACATGTACCCAGAGAAGTGACGTGCGGATCCATCCTAAAGTATCGATACTTCTGTTACCAGGATCGATATCTGAACTTTGTCATAAGATCTCACTGTCACCAGGATGGTCTAATTATACTCGGTTGATAGGAACTACTTTTCCTTCCGCCCGTCAAAGTCATGCTGCGCTACGGCTCTGTGACGGAGCTTCTTTGAAGCGAGCAGCTTACATTTACATTTCCTGTGATTGAATACTGAATATGGCCGATTGTGAAAGTAGCCACGTCCGTGAAGGTAAGAATGACACCGTGTGTGCAAAGGCAGTGAAATACTTTGGCAAACTTCGCTAAACATCTGAGATTAAGTCACAATAATGTGATGATGTCATGAAGCGGCAGGAGATTTTTATTATAATTGAAGAATATGACAGTAGTTTGTCATTATGCAGCTATTATTTTGAATTGAAAAGGCTACAGCCTGCTCCTTATTTCTCTCATGTACAGAAACGGGAGGCGGGGGGGGGGTCACATTAAAGTGACCTGTCAATCAGCTTGTAGCCCCGCCCTAAAGCCTCCCCTGCTTCCTGGTCTCTGTTCCTCTAAATGGGACCATAATTTACTAAATGAACATCATGCTGTGTTGAAGAAGACTTGAAACTAGCGACTGAGACCAGAAACTGATCAGGAAAGTGCAGGATGTTGAGTTTCTAATACGATTAAACGTCGGTAACACTTTCTATGAAGGTCATCGCTATAATGACTTCTGCATATATTTATAACACGATATAATGCGTCCATAAGACAAAGTTCATGACGTATTATGACCTTTTGATTTAATGTTTTATAACTAATAGTAATACCAGTTTATATCATATGTGGCAAGAATCTCCGCCCGTGTTCCATAACACATTATAACCACCGACTCTGCCTCGTTATGAATACACTTCAGTCATCGTTTACAATTAGTGATATAAAATGGAACAAAAGCTTATAGTAATGTTTAAAGTTAAATAGCACGTCTTTGTTTGCTTTAAGTAAAGTGACACAGGAAAACAACTTTTATTTATGTGTCTTCACTTTATGAACAATCTGTATGAATTCTGAACATTTTGCAGTTTAGCACAAAAACAACATAATTACATGAAGGACACTCGTTGTCAGGGTGGTGAGCGATCGCTCAAGAGAAGACCTGTTGCCGACCAACATCATGTAAGAGGCTCAGATGTTGTCATAGATGAATGGCGAGCCTGTGGACAGGCCCTGACAGATGCAGTGGACGATTAAAGACAAAACGTAGCCGTTCTAAAAGGACCCGGTTCCTAAATTTCTCAAAACACGAAAATCAATAAGGTCCGAGCTTATCGACACTGCTACGGGAACGGAAAGGCATTGCAGAAGGCGGCGAAAACCGTCCAGCGCATCACTGGAGCCTCACTTCCTGCTATCAAGGACATCCACAGGAAGTGTTGTCTAAGGAGAGCAATACACATCAGGAAAGACTCCTGCCACCCAGCACACAGACCCTCCTGCCCTCTGGGAGGCGCTACAGGAGCCTACGGACAAAACCCACCAGGTTCAGGAACAGCTTTTTCCTACAGCTGTCTCCCTGCTGGACTCTGCCCCCCAACGCCCCACCCCCCCTCCACACACATACTCACAAACCCCCATCCTGCATCTCCTCACATTCACACTCACCATCCTCCCTGGAAGCTGAACAGATGACCATCCTCTGAACCAGCTACACTTACCAACTGCGCTGCCACCATGGACTCTGACACCACTGCACCTTTCATCTAAGCATACCATTGCACTACTCTACATTCTGCTTACGACCGCTGATTTACCCCCGATTTACCCCCGATCACAGCCTGACGGCCGCCGAGCAGCATTTCAGGCTAAAGATCGTGTAGTTTGAACTAAGATTAAACAACAAACATCTGTCAGTCACATGTTCCAATAGTTTTGCTCACTTGAAAAATGGGCGCGGTCAAACAAACGGTGGTTTGTCCTGAGTTGTTGAACGCATCTAGATGTGAATACCAGGAAATGAGAGCTGAACTCTTGTCTCATCTTTTGATCTTAAACCCAAATGTCTTCAGTGAACAACAAAAAGGATTTGTCTTCCTGTTCCAATACTTTTGACTGTAAGTCACTAAGCCGTTTCAGTGTTATAAGTAGTTTTGGAAAAGTATAATTAAGTTAACATGTGTTCATCTTTCAGCTAAGAGCTCTTCATCATTAAGATGGTGGCTTCCAACCGCAGTGAAAGTCTTCCCGATGGTTACTGGTCAAACCTTTGGTGCTGATTGGGCCATAATGGATGAACTGAAGAAAAGCAGATTCCTGATGTTGGAGACTACAGACCTGCAGGAATGTGACTTCGTCATCGTCTTCTGTCCAATCAGGTCTCGTGTTGGATCAGATGTGGAGGCAGCCATGAGAGATGTTCCAGGTAAAGACTTGTTTTTAACTTGCAGCTCAGGTTCCAGAGAACCAGAGTTCTGGTTCTGTCCGAACAGCGTGGTCCATTAAAAGGAGCTGGCGCTCCACCTTACTTTAATTCTTATTCTGAATTTTATAATTTAATGAAAATGTTTTTGTTATTGTGTGGTTGCTCTCACAGAAAGCATACGTTATGGCAGAGACGTATGATGAGAAAAGGCTTCCTGCTGTCTGCGTGCTGAAGGTCATCTGTTCAGCTTCATGGTGGCCCCCGATTGGTTGTCCACCATAAGTGGAGATAGCGTGGGTGCATGGGTGCAGACACCCCAGGGCCCCAGCCGGTAGGGGGGCCCCATATCTGGGCCATAATGTTTAGCTTTATGGACTCCCATCATGGACAAACCATTAGCTTCATGTACTGAAGAAACTGAGCAGCTCTTATCAAATGAAACGGTCCCTTCACTCCTGGTTTCAACGGTGAACCACCACAAGAATGTCAACTACCAACCAAAACACTAGATTCTAAGGAGACACGTTTTAACAAACACAACTCATAAAGTCACATTTCTATTTCAAACAAATTAAAACTTATTAGCACATTTTAACAAAAGCCCCTTCCCCCTCGTGCATCATGGGAATTCTGAGGGACGTAGGCTGCGCAGCGGTTTATTTATGCATCAAAGTCCACTGGAAGCCTCTCAGAAGTGTTTCAGCAGCGCAGCCTGCCGCACGTTAACAACTTGTTTTGAAGTTTTCATTCTTCAGAGCTTCTCGTCTTGACGGGCGCATCGAGCAGCTACCACAGGGAGCATTTCAGAATAAGAGCGATTTGCCTGCCGACACGTTTCGATTTTGTTGATTTGGTGATTAGTGCTTGCTTTTTGTGCTTCTATTATGATTAAGTAACTACGTAGTTTTTTCTGACTTATCTGTGTTTATTGTTGATCTGTACTGGGTATTTAATTTAGGAAATTGACAGGATTCTCTGCTGTTTCTGTGTCTGACTTCCTGCCCAGTTCATCTGCTCTGTGCTGCTTGACGCTGGGACGCTTCTTTAGCGTACCCTTTTTAATACCACCATGATGAAATTTAATACCAACGTCACTGAAAATCTGTATGAATTTTAAGTCCGAGAATATTATTTAGGAAGTTACATGAATTTAATAAAACATTTTATTATAATACATTCATATTTAACACACTGTAGCTCGGGGTGTGTTTGTACTCTGATGAGATAAAATGAATGAAGGACGTCACTTTGTGTTGAAAAGTGGTGGGACATAAGGGTTCAGATTAGCGCTGTGACGATACAATTCACAATACTGGGTTCACAAGAACAAGACAAGAAGATATTTTAACACAATTTGATGAAATATTCAATGCTGAAATATATTTAAATGGGGGCCCCTAGAAAATTTTGAGCACTAAACACTTAATTTCCTGCATTCTGGAGACATTTTCTGCACCAATTTATGGTAGAATTATTTTTATTCAGATTTTTTTTAGCTTAAACTGTTTTTGAACAATGCACATTTGTTTCTTTTATCTTTACATTGCATTGCATGTTTTCTTATTGTGCAAATAAACCTTTCTCAAAGTATTTTCATTTGTTCAAGTAAAGGCTCAGCTCTGTTAGCTGCCGTTATGTTAACGGTAACTTTTACTAAGTAGCGATGTGAGATTTAGCTACGTCCTGTAACGGAGTCACTGTTCAGTTAGATACTAGTCAGATACTATTATAAGTGGCTGCACCTGATCCCGATGGACACGAAGGGTTTAAAGGCAGAGAGCCGAGGGGGGAGCGGCTGCAGAGTTCTGCCTGAAACGGGGGTTACGTACTGTAACCCGGATTCTGTTTCGTACAGGCTTCGCCCTCTAAGGCTATCGCTATTGGGTTAGAGGCGAAGCAGGATGAGTCACCGCCTCACTGGCCCATACGGTACCACCAAGCACAACTCACCTGCCCAGAGCCATAATGAGCCGCCCGATTGGCATTGGTCTCGGCATGCGTGCAGACGGACAACTAATGTTTTGGATGTAGTTCTCAGCTGCTGCCAAAGGTGGCCAGTTTTACGATCAGCTGCCCAGAAACAGATCTTAGGGAAAGCGACCTTTCACCTCCTGTTGAGGGTTGTTATCTCACCCCCCCCCTTTTCTTTCTCCCAGGGAGAGGGGAAAGAATTTGGAGTAGTCCAAATTTATTTGATATGAAATGCACAAATCCACACATTGTGTACATTACACTTGAAAATGAAGTAATGTTTGTTTGTGTTGTGTCTAACCAACCAAGACCAGTGTTTATGAATACATGAATCCTTTGTGGGACCTCTTGCTTAATAAACCTGGTCAAACCGCTCCAACCTGTATTTGTTTTGTGTCCTTGTCGGAGCGTCTCCCGACAGGAGCTGAATCAGCCAATCAGCTTGCTTTGCGTTCTGGACGTGATAACATTTCAGCAACAGCAGTAAAACAAGATGAATAGAAAGTGATGTTACAGCAGCTCCCTGTGGGAGGCGGGGGCCCTTTCAAATGTCCAGGGGCCCATTGTCTCAGAGTCTGTCCTTGTTGTGCAACGTTTACTGAACTGCGTGAGGGGATGGTGTATTAAACAGTTCCTCATGACGTTACATTACATTTATTCATTTAGCGCATTTTTAAACTATAGTGTTACGTCCCTTTAACAAACTCCTCCTAAAGCTTTAACCCGATCGACTTCAAATGTAAGGAGCTGAAACGTAAGAACACTGCGATGTTTAATTGCGAAGCTTTTTTTGATTGCTCAAACGGCATGACCATGGCGTGGCATTGAATTGCTGTTTCGCCATGAAAAAGGAAATGGCATGTAAATGGCCTAGACATGGTCGCATCTGTCCCAAAATTCACGTCAACCTCTGAGAGACTTACATGTCAACATCCAGTCGGTAGTGATAGCGCCCCCTACTGGCATCAGGAACGTTTCAAACCTGATTTATTATGCCTCATTTATATTTTTACCCCACTTAGCACCTTAGATTTCCATAGTGAGGCATTTATGCTCCTCATAGCAGGTTGACCACATCCATCTCAAAGTTCTTGTCAAATGCTTTTGCCTTGGGGAGAAATTATTCACAATTAAATAGGAATCTGCTTTTTGACAGTTATATTCTAAACCCAACCGGAAGTCAGCCACTTTGAATTAAATAACTGAGACCTCAACCGAACTTTGTGATATTTTTGACACGTCTCCTGTGTTATTTGTTCATTGTGAACTCCAGAGTCGTGTCAGCTGGCGTGCGATGCAAAGGCCCCAGCTGTCGCTGCACCCGAGGCACGCATGGGGACGAGGGCCCGCTCAACGCTGCTCGCAGCTTTAATCTTGTCCTGTGCTTCTCTCTTGTGTGTCATCAGGTGGTAAACGTGTTGTTCTCGTGCTGATAAATCACACCCGAGATGTCGACTATTCACCTGATGTGAAAAGATGGTCTGAAGACTTTCAGAACGTCGTGTTGGAAGTTCAAGTTCTCTTCCACGAGACTCTGCAGAGATTACTGTCGTGTTCAAGAAATGATGAAGCTCTCTGGCAAATACATGAGGAGTTAAAGGTGGAGTAATTGATTTTGTACAAATCCAACACCATGACATAAATCAAACGACACATCAAGTAACGTCATTGAGATTAGCGTTGTTGTGGATTTGCAAACTGCAGCCACAGTTGCTCCTGCACATCAAACATGACAACATAGCAGCTCCACACAGTGATACTCGCACCTCTCCTGCTGCTATAGCTAACATCACAACAACAGCATGTGTTGGTGAACCAGAAAGTAAGCTGAAAGTCTGGGGGCCAGGTGAGGACAGGTGTGAAGATGGGTGGGGCAGACAGGGTAAAGTCGGAGGGCACCTGGGCGGATGGAAAATGAAGGCAGAATAAGTGCTGTGGCTGCAGAGGAGGGACAGACCCCCCCAACATTTCAAAATCTATGTTTTGTCCCCCTCACAATTTCTGCGATTTTGGAGTTGGCTCATAGCCAGGCGGTTTGAGTGACTAGTTAATCAATCAATCACACACTCCGCATCAGACACGATTAAAAAATGATGTAGGCCTATAGAAAACATGCGTCAGAGGGCAAATGTGGTGCCTCAATATTACGTTTATTTTGTGCTGTTCTTTTTGTCCCTGAAGACGGCAGTGAGGACGCCTGCTGCAGGGGGGGTAGTGACGTGTTACAAGTAACGTAATTTTGCAAAATCAATAAATAAAATAAGTCATTGGCACCTTTCCACGTTCCTTTTTTAAAACTGTAGCCTACTTTTACTCTTAGGCCAGTAATGTACTTTTAATTTCAATACATTTTCCATTCATACCTTCATAATTTCACCAGTCTGTGATCTGCAATAGGCTTCATTAACCGAATTAACTGTCAGGCTGTGAGCGCAGTTACGCAGAAGAACGCCAGGTCTCCTCTGTGGTACAGAGACGGGGGCTTATCACAGAGATGAATGAGCTGGGCAGGTGCAAACCTTTAGAAAATCAGGCAGATACCTTTTCAGTTAAAGGCTTTATTGTTCTAATGAAACAACTGAAATCCAGTGAGCGCTCACCGTGGCACTGCCGTCGCTCTTAAACAAGCCGGCCGGCACCTACTTTCACTTTCCATTAACGGCGCATTAAAAGCGTCTTTAGTCTCTGCAGAGAAAACGTAAACTTCACACTGTAACATCTAAGTTAGATGAGCACTGGATTGATTCTGATAAATCAGCAGTATCCTGTTGTTGAAAAGAGCATCGCTTTCTTCTGTGGATATTCGCCTGTTTGGTTTTTTACATTGGTTACTGCGACGTGAACAGAATGTCGCCGGTGAAACTAATCTTGGCTTTCACTCAGCAGCTACCAGCTGTTATTTATTCAGGAAACAATCGTATTGGAGATGCACAGAGAGAGAAAATATGCTGCGTCTGTATGTAGCTTTACCTGCTCTCGTGTTGCTGCCACAATAATTCTTTGCGTTTAGATTATTTAGATGCTTTAGGAATAACCAGATTGTTTTGGTTTGGTTGGCTACATGTCTATAATAAAAGAGACAGGCAACAACAGTGGCCGGGCAGCAAGCTGATATTTTAAAGTGATCTTATCTCTTATCTTAACACATTCATGGAGATTTAAAAAGGAAAATAATTGTATTGAACAGAAATAGCTAAAGATAATCAACCAGCAAAGATAATTGCATTCCCTAGAAATAACCATGTTGCAGCTGTTTCTAACCTGATGAACAGCAGATGAAATATATTATTATATTTTACTTGAGTAAAGATTTTGAGTCAGTAGCACAACAGAGTCAAAGCCAGCACAGTCCAAAGCAGCAGTTTATGGTCAGACTGATGATGATATGGCTTATTTAGTCATCTACTCAAGGGCTCAGCTGAAGTGAGTACTTTACTTTAGGAGGTTAGAGGGTGTTTCTAGTTTTGAAAATATATTCAATGACTCATTAAGTGATGTACTCTACTTGCTTAAAATTCTCAAGAATACAGGAATAAAGGTCTGTAAAGACCCAGAGGGCCCGACAAATGCTTTGTCTGGAGAGCCGGCTGACCAGGGACAAACTGCTGGGCCACTTCTTTGCCTCCGTCTGTGGCCATCCTTGACCTTTAAACCTGAGGTGTGCATGTGTCTCTGCTACGTGTCCATAAACAATTTGAAAGTATTCAAAATGTTCACACAGACACGAGCATCCTGCAGTATTTTAAGAGGAAGAGGTCAGAGGTCACGGGAGCAGGAGTAGAAAAAAACTGTAGTCAGGAAGCCAGTATAGCTACTAGACGTAGTAAATTCTAAAACTTAGTCTGTTTTGTTCTAGTTACGTTATACTCCCTCTCGCTGACCCTCTCCCTCTTCGAGTTTTCATAATCTCCCCTCTCCAGTCTATTCTCCATCTTCTGTCACTACAAAGACCCTCTTTTTTCACACTAAGTACATTCTGTTTTCAAAAGTCATTAGAAATGAGCATTTTATCCGAATCAGAAGGAGCTTTATTGCCAAATAGTGTTTAACACATACAAGGAATTTGTTTTGGTGATAAGGTGCTACACATAGACAAACATACCGTTGAGATAAATAAATGTAGAAATATATAAATATGGAATAGACAATGCAAGTTATATAATAATATTAAAAAGAACAGAGGAAAATAATAGCAGACTATTTATCTATCAACTATTTCAATGCTTTATTTAAAAAAAAAACAACCCGTAACCCTCTTAGCATTTCAGCGTCCCCCCCAGGTTCAAAGTCGCTCCTACGCCCCTGCTTTAACAACACCACTCCGTCCAGCTTTCAAAGGAAAAGTATACAAGTATTAACAACAAATTCTACTTAAAGTAGCCTAGTATGTAATGCCCCTGTCATTTGTATTATATTGTCACATATTAATATATAAGCTGTACTGTAATGTTGGGAGTTGGTGACCTACAACATTAAAGTTGAACTGTCATATACTGTTGGGTAATTTAATCTCACATTTGTACTCAAGTACTTACTTCACACCGCTGAAAGTAACAGTTGGTTCAAAATCTTAAGGCGCTTTTCGACCAAAAGTACCAGGGACTTTTAAGTCCCCATGTCCACGAACTAAAAGGTTCCTTCAGCCCACTGTTGTGTGCGTTTCCACTGCGTCTAAAGACCTGCAAAGATCAGGCAAATTAACCAGCTGACGTGGGCTGTAGGCCTGGCTGTACACAGCGATGCACAGACATCATTATTTGTAACCACGATCCGAGCAACATTTGTAAATGAACATCAGATTTGACTGGAATATAATGACAAACTACAGGCTGTGTTTGACCATTAAAGCTGCTTTTTTGTGTGGGAGTATAATGAAGAGACACACGATAAAGTTTGTTACGCATTTAATACCAAACTGGATAAAGCTATAAAGTTCTTAAAATAACTTGGGTACAGAGAAAGCAGCACGTCTGTGTCCGCCTGCGTCGCAGGAACGGAATGTTTAACGAGCTTTACCTGCTGTAATCAGCTGGTCTGCTGGTTCTGGAGAGGAGGAGACCGACTTCGTCTCCTTGTAGAAACTTCCTGACTGATAAACTTAAAACAACAACTTCTGACCCAGTATTTAGCGTAACTCCATCAGCTGTTCACAGTAAACACACTGCTGAACACTGGCTGCTGTTTCCCAGCTATAAATTTAAAGCAGACATACGATCTCAGGCGGACATGTGTGGATAACAAACTGGATAAAACCATCAAGTTCTTAATATAACTCCAGCACACACAGATGAAACAACGCAAAAATAAAATTGCGACAGTTTAGAAGGTTATTAAAACATTTCCAGTGACAAGAGCTGCAGATCAGCTGCAGGACTCACGTCTGTGTCGCCTGAGCGTCGGAGGAACACCCAGGCAGGCTGCTATTTACATTTAATGCCGACTATTGATCTCAGACGGACAGCGGCGAGACGTGAGTTGCTATTTGACGGCTGATTGTGATTTATTGGTTTGCAAACAACGGTGGAAAAGAGAGGATTTCTCCAGTTAAAGCCAGTAGCCTCTACTCGCCCATTCAGAAATTCACTGCAAGGCAAGCCCCGCCCCCCAAAGTATCCGGTACTTTCGGAAAATAAAAAGCGGGAGCAAGGGGAACCAGACACCGGGTTGGAGGGTTGCGGACAGTGGACAGGGAACAAGGAGGTGGCGTGGTCTGGGCCGCGGGCTGGGCGACGGCCTTGGTGTGAGGAGCAGGGGTCGGCCAGACCACCGACGGGGATGGTGTCGATCGATCCACCAACAGAACACGAGGAGCGGGGGTCGGCCGGACCGCCGATGGGGCTGAAGCCAGTCGATCCGCGGACAGGGCACGAGGAGCAGTGGTCGGCCGGACCACCGACGGGGTTCCCTTGAACAGACGGTGGGGGTCAAGCGTGGGGTCGGGCAGGTAGGGGGGATGACAGGCAGGCTGGGTAACAGGAGTGGCAGGCTGGAGGCTAGCTGCGCTGGCAGGCCCAGAAACAGGCTGGGGGCCAAAAGTCAGAAGCGCCTTCTTGTAGCCCGCGTGACTCGAGTCCCACCACTTCTCCAACAACTCCAAACACAGGCTTTATTGAAGGGGAAGCGGGGTTGAGGGAGTGGAGGTGAGGGAGAGGCGGACGCTGGGGAAAGACAGGCACAGGGAACCGAGGAAACTGAGACAAGGGAGCTGGGGCACTGGGGACCGGGGAAGCAAGGAGGCACGAGGGAGGAGCCGGGAGGATGCCGTGGAAAAGGTCCGAGGGGAGAGGGCAGGGTGGCGAGCCCAGCTGACGGAGCGGAGGATGGAGGTGAGTGGACCTGGAGGGGAAACGGACAGACAGACACAGCAGAGACAAAGCACAGGGAAACAGAAATGATGCAGAATGCGCGAGAACTTGAGTGGTGAAGTGGCACTGGGTAATGAGCAACGACGATCAAGCAGTGATGGAGTGGAGAACCGGGGTTGATATGCAGGCAGGGATGAGGCTGATTGCTGGCAGGTGTGGCAGGCAGAGGAGGTGGCTGACGAGGTGCAGGTGCGGGTCGTTGGCTGGGCACACGCAGGGGAGGAGACACAGGGAG